CGACGACAGTATCTGTGGACATTCATCATTGTCGATGTTCCCACAACCATATTCGGTATCGATTTTCTACAGTAATATGAATTGATAGTCGATTCATGTAGGCTGCAGCTAACTGATATTTCGTCGAACAGCACATTCATGTGATTTAATGCTCAGACAAACGCGTATCTGGTCACAGGTGTATCTCATTCGCGTGATATATTCCACGCTTTATTCGAGAAATTCCCTCAATTAACTTAACCTCTGGAGGGGATCCTATCGTGTGCAACACCACATAGTCACCCGCGGCCCCTCAGTCATGGCGAAACTTCGCCGACTAGCAACAGAAAAATTAGCTTTCGGTAAACGCGAGTATGATAGCATAATAGCTGCTGGCATTATTCGTCCTTCTCACAGATTCTGAGCCTGATGATCTGTCACGTATCCGAGTGAATGGCTCAAAGAACAGATAATGGCGACCGTCTGTTGCAGCTATGCTCAGATAACCGCGTCTTTCTTGCAAATACTAACTTTAGGCATAAGGAAAGACATCTTTTAACATGGCGACCCCCGAATTCGTCCCAACGTTGGACCCAAATACATAACATCGCTATCAGCCACCGATGGAGGGGCTCGATAGAAGACTGTCGCTCATTCTGGAGCACATGCTTAGATTCAAATCATGCTCTAGTGCGAGCGCGTATTTGCTTGCGTCTTACTGGACGTAGAAAAGACGCTGCAAGGAAACCTCTTAGGGGCCTACTTAATGATAGTCAAGCTAAGAGTATATTTCAGGAACAACTAGGAAAACAGTTATGCAGCCATGTATGTGATGCCCACCCCGAGGCAGCATGGAATGATATCCGAAAAGCTGTGGAAACAGCAGTGATATCCGCTAGTAAGTTAAACCAGAGGGTTAGGGAGCAACACTGGATCTCAGCAGCATCTATCGCACTGATAGATGCTCGGAAACTCATTCCACCTGACTCTGAACATAATGAAGAGCGGAGTCAGCTTAAGCTGACAAGAAGTCTACGCAATGATCGTGAACAGTGGTGGGTAGCGAAAGCAAGAGAGATGGAAAAGGCAGCGGCAATAGGTAATGGTAGACAATTGTTCAGACTTGTTAAGGAAACCGGAATAAGGAACCCGACTGTATAAGAAGTTGAGAAAGCCATAGGAAATCTGAAACGAGGGAGAGCAGCAGGCCCTGACAGGTTTACTCCTGAGATTTTTAAGGATGGTGGTTCAGTATTAGCAGTGAGATTAACCGAGGTCTTAGGTAGAATTTGGGAACTGGACGTAATCCCATCTGACTGGTCTCTATCACTGATTGTGCCAGTCTATAAGAAAGGACAAAGTTAATCTTGTGACAATCACAGAGGAATCAGTTTGACTAATATAGTGTCTAAAATATTAGCTTCAATAATACTTCGACGCCTAACCAAAGCTCGTGAAGAGCAGATTAGAGAAAACCAGGCCGGTTTTCGACCTGGACGTGGTTGTATAGACCAGATATTCATACTACGTCAGGTTCTAGAACACAGACACACGTTTAGACGCCCCACAATGGTAGTATTTCTCGACCTTAAGGCGGCATTCGACTCTGTTGATCGTAAGGTTCTATGGCAGTGTTTGTCATTGAAAGGAGTACCAAAGAAGTACACTAACCTTATAAAGGCTCTCTACTCGAACACAACTGGTAGAGTGAGAGCTTATGGCGAACTGTCATCAGAATTGATTACATCAAGTGGTGTTCGTCAGGGCTGTCCACTCTCTCTATTCTTGATTAACTTTGAACTTCTACCAGGAGGTTCACTTGTTGACTTAGAATATGCCGATGACAGTTTTATTTGACGAAGACGCTGACAAAATGCAGTCTTCTGACCACTCTAAGCAACAATGCAAGCATGTTCGGGATGCGATTCTCTCCCTCGAAATGCAAAATGTGTTGCTTCAGGATTGGGTTGCATCGACACCCGAACTAATGATAGGGAGTGAAGTAGTTGAGCGTGTCTTGGAAGTCTCATCAGCCCATGTGGTCTGGTGTGTGACGAAATCTCAGCACGGATACTGAAGGCCCGACTAGCTTTTGCCAACTTGCGTCATTTATGGCTTAGGCAAGATATCCATCTACCAGCCAAAAGACGGGTTTACTGCGTAGCAATTCGTTCCGTCTTACTTTATGGCAGTGAAACGTGGCCGGTAAGAGTAGAGGATATTCGTAGGTTATTAGTATTTGATCATTGGTGTCTTCGAAACATTGCTCGTGTATCCTGGGACCATCGCGTAAGCAATGCAGTTGTTAGGAAACGGGTACTAGGTAAGGATGGCAAATCCATTGATGAAAAGGTGAAACTTCATCAGTTGATATGGCTGGGACACGTGTTGCGTATGCCCAACGACCGACTGACTCGACGTGCGATGTTCAGTGGTATAGGAGTAGGTTGAAAGAAAGCTAAGGGAGGACAGATCAACACATAGCACAAATTCATGAAGTCACTACTGACAAGTGGACTGAGCTATTTTGGTAGGTGTAGACTACCTTGTTGGGATCTGCGAGACGATAACAACCGATGGTTAGAGACCTTGAATGATATGACTCAAAATCGTTTGCAGTGGTGTGAGCAAGTGTATCCACTCTTTGTGTTCTCCGAAATTCTAATCTTCTGAATTATTCATACCCCTTTCCTTTTTTCTTTCGAAATCTATTTCATTGGATTATACTCACTGAATAACATTTTCAAACCCTAATCTTTCCGATTGCTGTTTATACTTTTACTACCTCTACCACTATGGGATTTGAATCGCAAACTGCATCTCTGTGTTAATATGGTGTGACAATTCGAACTGATATACATACATACAAATTTCTACATTGTTATTGACCGACTGATATTATTTAAGGTGATAAGTTGATCAGTTTTTATTTAGAAAATTATAAATTTTGTTACATGAACACAATACCCTTTATATGACATTTAATAGTTTGTTTCTTTATGGAAATATTCATGTAATTCTAATTGTAGTATCTATGAAATGATAGTTAATTCAATATTATTTTATAAAGAAAAAAAAAACCCAATAAAAAACAAAACAAAAACTATAATAAGAATAACGATGTGAAACAGATTTTATTAATTTTTATTATTTTCAAAAAGTGTTTCAATATTTTGTTGATAGTAAAATGATAAATAAGAAGGAGGGGAGCAGAGGAGGAGAACGTGGCATATTAGCAACAATATTGTTTGAAAAAAAATACATATATATATATATATCATAACTAATATTGTTTTACAAAGAAATGTAATTCGAATAAGAACAAAACAATGACCGGATCTACAACACATACAAAAGCGACTCATAATATAAATAATGTAACAATAGAATTAGCATAGATTTACTTACATACAATATGAAAAAAAGTTACCTTTGCATGATCATGAATAAATGACTACAGAATGTCACACATACACACACACACATATACATGTTACATAATACATACATAAATATAGATAGAAATAGATACATACAAAGGAGTCTAATAAAGAGACATTAAATATAATTCCCCTATAGAATGATATTATTAAAAATAAAAGGGAATTGAAAGAATCATTTCAAACACACAATAAGAGAATTGAATAAATTCAATAATTATCCATGGCATATAAAGTAAATATACTATATGACATGAAAATATCAGCATAATTCATTAGTAAAAATAGATAAAACTTAACAGAAATGTATATCATTCTTACAATTTCATACCCTACTACTAATTTCTACTATTCATTCATGTTTATTCAATTGATCCATAGAGTTGATAAGGCGGAAAAGGAATACACAAATTGATAACTTTAATTCACATTTATATGTGTATATTGTGAATCCTTCAATGGGAATAAGTTTACACAGACAAATAACTGTAGTTGCACACATTCACAAATAAACCAACATAGAAGTCAGTCAAGAAAATATGTGATTGTAAAGATCAAAACCAAACCAACTAATAAAGACCGGGGTAAATGAAAAGAAAACAAATAATAATAATAATAATGAGAAACCTGACATGTAATGAGATCATGTGCTTAATGAATCTATGATTACATTCTCATAATTACAAGTTATATTATGAATAATAATAATAAATAAATAATCAGTTGTTAGATGAACAAACTGATAAGAACAAAAAAAAGGGAGGAAGTGGAAACCAAACTTATGGAAGAACAATTATATAGTGGAAAATCAATTGTAACTAAGATATCACACTCACTCACACACACACACACTTTAAACACATCCATATACATGACAATAAGATAGTTGGCGAGACGTGAATTATTTAGAGAGAAAAAAAGAAAGAAAAGAAAACAATATACATAAATACATGTATGTGATAATATTATACAGAAAACAACAACAACGACGACGACAAAAAAGAAAAGAAAAAAGAGAAAGAAAAAATAAACAAATAAAATATCATTGATCGATGTTTATTTGTTTAAAATAAAATAAAAATCTATTTGAAAGAAAGAACATGGTAAAACAAACAAACAAACAATAAAATGAATATCGTTTTCTTTTTGAATGACCTACAACACATTGACAATATTGGTTTTCTATATTTTGTTTTGGTAAAAGTATAAACATAATTAAAATTTCAATGAATTACTCAATAGTTCATTTTAAAAGATAGAAATTATATTATTTATATGATATAAATAATCATTTACTTAGTTACAATACTAAACATGAGATCAATAATATCAGAAGAAGAAGCTTAAATGTAATGATAATATTGACAATAACAGCCATAGCAACAACAACAAGAAGAAAAATGAAGTGGTAAATGTTGACATGGATACATGAACCAAAACATTCATATAATCAATTAGAATATGTCAAAGGATAGAGGTAGGAAAAAGAAAGAGAGAAAGAGGGAGGAGAGAACAATCAACACAACTACATACATATACATACACATCAATAGATTTAGTAAATAGATAGATAATATGAATTTAAGTTATATTAGTAGTATGTAAAATAAAATATTTCATAATAATATTGAATGCATTACGATTGCCTGAAATGCGTTTAAATCGTACACCATAATTAATTGGTTTAGCTAATTGAAATATTTCCATATCCCATATGATTAAATTAGTTTTATGTTTTAAATGAATTAGATAAGATACTTGAGGCTGTTGTTGTTGTTGTTGCTGGGGTTGGTTTTGTTGAGGTGATGTTGTTAGTGTACAATGTTCTAGTTGTTGGTCAACATCAACATCATCAATAGTGTTATTATTATTATTATCATTTGAACAAGGAGAGGGTTGATGAGAAGAAGAAGAAGGATTCATTAATTTTGTACAACGTATACGATATGAACTAAGAAATTCATAAGAACATTGATAACGTTTTATTAATTCAATGATTTGTATTAATAAAACATGTGGATCAGTTCCAATAATTGGGAGGCGTAATACAAAATGTAAACGACGTGGTTTCCATAATTTTTGATTTTCATTCTTTCCATAATAAAAAGTATGATAATCATGTTGACGTTCATCAGATGATTTAAATTGTGATGATGAGGTAGTTGTTTTCCAATTTATCATTCTCGTTGTAACTGTCAGTGGAGATGAGGTTGTTGTTGTTATTGATGAGGATGATGGTGATAATGATATTGTACATGATGGAGTTGTGATAGTTGAAGCTTTCAATTTATGCATGTCGGAAGTTATGACCACAGTTTTCGAGGTTGGAGGGTCGAGGCAACACGGTTCGACTCCGGTCTTTTCTATAAAACAAACAATAAACAATCATAAGACGAATGAAACGTAACTAAAGCTGAAGATGATAAGTTAGTATATAACAAGTAGTTAAATTAAAAAAGAAACACATATACACACGAATTTAATTCGTTTATCTTTATCAAAATACTACTGAAATAATTAAGGTAAGTGTGTAAAGTAGCTGAGGGGGGGTGGGATACAAAAAGCACCAAAAATAGATAACATGTAGTTAATGCAAAACAAAAAAAATTTGTGCAGTAAATTTCCAATTAAAAATGACATAATTAACACGTTGTTACAAGAAACAAACAAACAAATACAAATAAGATACAAAACAAAACAAAGAACAACACAGTCTAAATGTAGTTAATTCTTAGTCATATTATAAAGAGAGAAAAAACGACTGGTGAATTCATTGAAAATTTTACTTGGTTCAACCTACGATAACTTATGAATGGATTCTATCATGAACTCAATAAGGCAGCACACACACACACACAATACCCTCCTCCCAATGGTAAATCCTCAACGATAGGACCCAAAAAGAAGTACAGCAGTATAGAAAAGTTGATATTTCACATAGAACAATTGAAATTAAACAACTCTGTATACGTGTATATATATAGCAATAAAAACGACCTTAGGAAAGAAAATCAGTGAACTAAATGTGATAGTCACCAAGACAGAAAACAGCATGGTTATGTGAATGGGAAAATATGCTTGAGGTTATCTTATTACAAAGGAAAAATTAACATTTAATGATAACCTATCTTCTATTTTTAAAAAACAAACCCAGGTCGATGATCTGGAAACTTTTCAAGGATGGGGTGTTGATTATGGAATTGAGAGAATGAAAAATGAATGCTCGGTGCTTTAACCGGGTTGATAAACATGGAGAGTCCACCTAGGGGAGCTGGAAAACCCTGATTTAAAACAAATGTTGCACATGGGCTCTAGTACCCCGAGCGAATAAATGGTGAATGAACCTATTGTTATTCAACGGGTACCATGGAACTGCATCTTCTTACGATGCTCCACTGTCTTGTGGATCACACCTTCAGGTCGAAGGCTCTGGGTGTGGACCCTAAGGAAACCACCTGCTTCGGCTTGGGCACCCAGACAGTAATACAGCCCCCACACAAATCAAATGAGATTTGTGTGGCGCATATGTATCTAGTGCCTCCCGTCACAGTGTCTATTCTACAGGACTTCAACACAACTCAGATGATTAAGAACACGTGATTAGCCTGACTAGGACGTAAATATATTTCCATACCAAAAACCTGACACAATCCAACAACAATCAATAATAAGGATAAGGGAATATATAACTCATAACTAATACCTATCAGACTATCTACTAGTCTGACTAAGCAAACAATCAATTATTATCACATTCTTCAAGAATGCTAGTTTGAACGAAAATGATCTACAAGAAGTATATCAAAAGTGTCTACTACCAAAAAAACAAATCGATCAATCTTAATAAAAGTATCTTGTATATCAGGAAATTCTATTCATGTTCGCATTATAAAATAAAAAAAAACTATTGTTCAACATACACATAAATGAATAAACAGCATAGAATTACTTCAGATGAAATGGAATGTACCATGAATATGTTGTATCTAGTTCTTGAAACTACAATTAATATACATACAATGTATTCCAATTTACGAAAAATGAATGAACAATACAATGATGAAAAACAACAAGAACAACGACGACAATAACAAAAGGTTTATAGATTTCATAATTTCGAATAAATTAAGCATTAGATAGATTGTTATTTATTTATTTTAACACATAGATATTGGTACAAGGAGGCACCAAATAAATATGCGCCACACAAATCTCATTCGATATGTGTGAGGGCTGTGATACTGCCCAGGTGCCCAAACTGAAGCAGGTACGGATAGATTGTTATATATTTGTAGAAATACTAATGATGAATAAGACAAAAAGGTAGATTTTCTGACATAACATAACTTCGTGTAAGCAATTTCTATTCAAAGAAGAAATTTCATTTAAAGGTATAGTGTTGGAGAGTTGAATCAATTTTTTCAATGTTTCAATTCACACAAGTTCACTTCAATTAAATAATCATTTGAAAACAAATGAAGTAATGTGTAAACTGATAACTCTATGGCCTCCAAATGCCCTGGTATGGAAGAGAGTGAGGTGGGTCATCCCTCCCTCTCGAAATGCTCTCACATGGCCACGCGTATACAGCCTCTGCCAGCGAAGTCCTACTCACAGCCTTCTCGTCAATGGGGTGTTGTTCACGGGAACGAGCGGACGATAAGTGAATGTCCGGTGCTTTGACCGGATCCCAAACCAATGGTGTACATGGGCTCCAGTATCCTGCGGGAACAAATGGTGTATGAACCAATCGTTGGTCACCGGCTACCATGGGACTGCATCTCCTCACATGCTCCACTGCCTTGTGGGTCAGACCCTCAGGTCAAAGGCTCGCGGTGTGGCCCTCTAAGAAAACTATCTGCTTCGGTCTGGGAACCCAGGCAGTATTACAGCCCACACACACACAAATATGGTGTGGCGCATATATAATTGATGCCCTCTGGTACCAATAATTATGTGTTGAAATGAATAATAAATAAAGATAACTCTATTAACAAGTTTTAGATAACAGCAGCATTTGAGACATTCTAGCGAGTATATTACTACTTGACTTAATGAGTTAACATATATGATTTGATTTATTTACTAGTTCAGTTAACTGCTGACTCGGATTGATGAACACATAAAAGTGATATATATTCAGTAGAAGTGTTGAACATTTCAAGTATGAATACCCTAATATGGCAGTCATGAATTTTTAAGACTAAAGAATTCCATACTAGTAATCGTCATTATTTAACATTAAACCAGAGATAAAGTCAATCAATCATATGGACTATAAATCGGATCATTCCGGTCAAGAATATTAGATTGATTTGGAATAAAGAAAAATTGTAATAATCATCTAAAGTGATACAATAATTAACATAAAGAATGAATGAGTCTATGGTCCAAATAAGTTTTGATTCTTCTCTATTCATACGAGATCTATTCGTTATTACGAATTGGAAATGTTGACAGTTGTTAGAGAATAGACCATGTTTAAACAAGTGGGTAGGGTTAATCACAATGCATATGGGGAGTATCAAACAAAAAAACACAAGAACATTACTGTAACAATTAAAATTTATTATTCTTGGATAGACTTTACACTTATAATGTTTTGTTAGAATAAATTATAAAATAGAACATTAAAGGAAAGAAAAAGAGAGAAAAATATAATAAACATATTTATTATAATTTTTAGTGAGTCAATCAGCTACAACGTAAGACCAGGCACATATATGCATCGGTTCAAGTTGCATACCGCATCAGCACAACAAGATGAACATCGGATTCATAGAAGTAGTTAATTCAATGGTGGTAATGTATAAAAGAAAGATTGAACATAAGAACATAGTACAGGAAGAAAGAATTAGTTGGTAGAAAGAAAGATATAAGGCAATTTTAAGCTCATAGTTTAAGTGAAGACAGAGAGTGTATACACCTACACTATTGTGATCGATGGTCAGCCATGTCACACACAGTCTCCAACCATTGGTTACGATAGTCACGCAGACTCCAACCAAGTAGACTGCATCTATCAACATGACTACGACTACAAGTTAGTGACTTCAAACACTGATGCCACGTTTTGGTTAGGCATCTTCTAACTTTCTTCCAGTTGTCTCCAACACTAGTCAGAATTGCGCGTCGTGGTAATCGGTGTTTAAGCATACGAAACACCATGGCCCAACCATTAAAGTTGATGAAGGTTCACAACTTCATCAACTGATTTACCAACATTCCCTAATACCCTACGTCTAACCTCACTATTACTTACCCGGTGATCTCGATAGATGTAAGCAATATTTCTAAGACATCTGTGGTCAAATACTAGTAGCTTACGAGTATCGACACTTAATGGCCACGTTTTGCATACATTAAGTAGAACAGAACGAACTGCCGCACAGTATACTCATCCCTTGATTGATAGACGGATATCTCGCCTTCACCATAGGTAATTTTGATGAAAATTGGAAAATGTTAAAATGAGTTTTAAGCTAGAAACACCCTTACTAACCCTTACTAACTATACAACATCCTTAGTGAGTGTTAAACACTAAGAATCTACAACACAGCAAAACTATTGCATGCCAGAAACCGAGAATATGTTCAAGTTGAACATTATGTGTTTAGACAACATCAACAACCAAAAAACAACACACATAGATAAACACTAACAATAACTGTAGAATGTGTAAAGATGTTTGGAAGAGTAAGAAAAACAAATGAAAAAGTGTACGAATTACATATAAAAAGATAAACTATCACTACAATTACAACAAGAAACATACAAATATATTCATTCCTATGAATATATTATGAAATCTACATAAGATTTATCAAAAAAAGCAGTTTGCAATTAACAGTCTACACTCATTGTAACTAATTATTGACATCATAAGGGGTTTTGTGAATATTATAGTAATTTTAATAGTTGAGATCATGAGTCAATTGAAGCTAAACTACCATGGAAGACCTGGATTGCTGTTTCGTCCTAGTATAGAACCCCTCAGCAGTGAGCATCCATAATTACACCTCGCGTGGTTTGAACCCAGGACTTATCGGTCTCCTGCACGAACGCTTAACCACTAGACCAGTGAGCAGGCATCCAACGATATTATTGGCAGTTAGTGAGAGGAAATGTTTTGAACATTTTTACAAGTGGGATTAAAAATAACCTATATTGATCACAGGATTACTTCGGGAAATATTTTTGTTACACATTCTAAACTGTCTTTATATTGTTGAATGACGATCCAGTCAGTCAGTCGTTAAACAAATATATCATATACAAAGTCAAAGATGACTGTTTCCATAATGAAAAAGATGATCGAACCGAGAACACTATTGAACGTTCTGTGAGTTTAAAGACCTGGTTTTCTAATTACATAGAAGTAATGCTAACATCGCAGAATCGTATATAACGCATCTTTTTCACACACAGTGTGATGCTACAATGCAATAGTCAGAAGGGAATCCTAGTAGTTCCGTGGTAGATGGTAGTCGTAAGTCATATCTGAAATCTTGAGAGAACTGGTACTTCTCACAGAATTTCAACTCTCATTGCCAAGCTTCAGTTCCTTCAATATTGTACATAAACCCTGCTGAACATTCGCAACGACCAAGAAAAATGAGTTTACGAATTTTACTGCCGATTGCTTTCATCTATCTAACAATGAAACTATTTGTTTGATAGTAGACCAGTATAACAAAATAGAAGACTGACCAGTCAAAATAAGAACACTTAGTATGGAAAAATTAAAAAAGGAATAGAGAAAAGAAGTAAAGTAAAACTTACTTTGATAACCATCACCACCGCCACAACCAGCGGGGATAGACTGATTATTAGCCGATGTGTTATTATTGGTAGGAAACTCAAATCCATGATGATACGGATAATGATGAAGAGGATTAGGGTGTTGTTTTAATTTATTAGTATCTAATTCACTGGATAATGATCGTTTGCATTTTGATATCAAATCCTTACGTTGTTGTTGTTTTCCAGGTTCCATAGTTATCCATGGATCTGGATTAATTGACCCAAGACATTTCATCGTGTCATCATCATCACAATTCACTTCATCATTATCATGATGATGTTGTTGTTGTGTTGTAGATGGATGACTAGGTTTTGTTGTTGGTGATGATGATGTAGAATGGGTTAATGAAGAAGTATGTAATCGATTAGATGAATTAAATTCTTCAGTTAATTCAGCTTCATTATTATTTGGTTTCAATAAACTCATTCTATGTGGTTTAAAGTTAGTGTTATTAGTATATTTATGATTGGATTTTTGTATACTAGAAATAATTCGATTATTATGATGATTTGTATGACTATGGTTACAAAAAGGTGAAAAAGAGGATACATGAATAAAACAAATAAAGTATTGAATATTATGGGAGTCAGTGGAAAAAACAAACAACAGCCACCCCCCTTAACAAACTTTAGTAAATGAAGTACTTTGATGGAAATGTTTCTATTTCTAGGGATATATATTACAAAAGTCAACTTATGTGAATAGAAAAAGTAGTTAGGAACTGAGAACTAAACAAAACAACCGTTTCATGTTAGTAAAAATTAGAAGTATCGTGCACGCTTTAAAACCTGATCATACTAAGTTCGATCACAAAATGAAATCGTAAATGTACACTAGTGAATGAAGAGCAACGAACTAGGATGAAGTGATAGTCTATTACTATTCAGTTTCATAATAAACTGGTGATCTCTCAACGGATATCATAAACAATTAATAATAAGATCATTCGACAAAGTTTATATACGCTTAGGAAGTTGACTAGATGTTTCAATATCAAAAATACTCATCATTGTGTTATTGCAAGCCAACGAACATAATACCCTATTTTGGCTACATAAGTTAATCGCTTTACAATGAGATGACAGGGTTACGAATGTGACATTTTAAAGTGTAGCAAGGATATATTAAAATTAAATTCATATCCTTCAAGGTATAAAATGAGTAAAGTGAAAGTATTTATTCACATTAATAGACAACTAAATTTGAGAAGTATGCATCAGTTCAATACAAATAAACTTAATCAATCCTAATAGTTAAGCATAGATCGAATACATTTGGCTAATATTTTCACTCAGCAAAATATCAATTAATCAGATTGAGATTATGTTTATTCTCTCAAATATACCAACCAATTCGATGTATAAGTAACTTCCTAATATATCCAAAAAAAGTTAACTAAACAACATATTTATGCAACAGATAGACCCCAAATGTCCTTGTACGACCGAGGGTGGGGAGTCAGTTCTTCCTCTACAAATGCTCTCACATGGCCACGTGTATCCAACCACTATCAAAGAAGTCCCAATCATTGTCTTCTCGCAGCACTACTGATGTTTACGAAATTGACAACACGAAAAGTGAATGTCAGACGATTTAACCGGGTTGATGAACACAGCGAGTTCATCCAATTGAAGTTGGAAAACCTTGATTCCAAACTAAAGGTCTACATGAGCTCCAGTATCCTGACGGAACAAGTGGCGTATAAACCCATTGTTGATCAATGGCTGCCATGGAACTGCATCTCCTAAAGTTACTCCACTGTCTCATGGATTAGACCTTCAGGTTGAAGGCTTAAGGTGTGACCCTTTAAGTAAACCACCTGCTTCGTTTTGAGCACTCGGGCAGTACAACAATCCTCAGACAATCCAAGTGACTTGTGTGTCATATATATATTCGGTGCCCCATTTTACCAGTATTTATGTGTTTAAAAAAATAAATACATAAAAACTAACGATAGTCATCCATAGGAGATGAATTAATAAGAATGATAACAGTATCCTAAACATTTTAGATGTGAACAGCAGAATTATACTAATATATACAAGCAGTTAATAAACCAACATTTGAACTAGTCGAAAAAAGTATAAACAATTTTAAAGCAATGTCAAATTAGAATAAAAAAAAACCCATTGAAACTTGAATACATGAATAGATACTTCTAATAGATTTCAAACTACTTTAAATAAATAGTAGTACTTGTCATTGAATCGAAAAAAACCCAAATAATTTTTATTCTTTACACCATGAATGTAAAAGAACAACTAAACTTAAGTGCTTAATTAGTTTATAGATTAATTGAAAACATGATGAAGCAAGACTATAATTTATAAATGAATCAAACAGATTTACAACAATAAGTCTTTGATTTACGTCGCGAAATTCACTCAATTCATTTGACCAAATAGCGCCTTGGTATTTTAGCTGATATCAGTTCGTGATGAGAACTTTAAATCTATTTCTTTAACTATCAATTGTGAATCATAATTCTTATTCTTCAAACTGTTTTATAATCCTTATTTAGCCCTAGTAAGTATGTGGACACTCTCAAGGTCACTTTAGCATCGTACAAAGGTCATTCATAAATTATAGTCTCACCAATGCATATGAATACGTAATAATCAAGTATAGAAAGTTCATCAGTTGAAACCATGAGTCAATTGAAGCTAGACTACCATGGAAAACCTGGAAGCACTGGAAGGCCGTTTCGTCCTGGCATGGGACTCCTCAGCAGTGCGCATCCACGATCCCGCTCCCCAGGAGATTCGAGCCCAGAACCTTTGGGTCTCACGTGCGAGCACTTAACCATTAGACCACTAAGCCAGCATACAACGGTGGATGGGCACTGGTGAGGAGTCCCACAATAGGATCGTCCAGCGACTCAAGGTGTTCCATGATGGTTTAGCTTCAAATGACTCATGATCTCAACTATTGAAATTAATGATCTATTGTATAACCACTCAATAGGATAAGAATAAAAATAAAGAAAATAAACGGAGATCAATAAGATTATGTAAGAAGTAAGTATAAAAAGACGAGAAAAGAGAGGATTGAAAATTATAGAAGAGGTTATTTGATAAAAAATTTGATAGTAGGTCTTCTTCCAAAGTCTAATCCATGTTGATAGATGGAGACTAATCGGATGAGGAATGTACGATTATCGTTCGCTGACATGATTCAGAATAGGTTGCACTTCAATAGATATGAGTTCACTACTCATTTTCCGCTTGATCATCAGTCTTGTACTTATTTCGTATCTTTTATCCTTTGTATTCATGATTTTTCATTGTCAGTGATATTACTAATTTGATATTCACCTGTGCTCAATGAGATGGGTCGATTTAAAACAATGAACATTTGACAATTGAATTCATCGATAGTAACAGTAGATCCATAAATTAAGATTAACTGAGTTTAAAATGGTGTATTTGATATGTGATAAGTTTAAGTTGATTTTGTACTAGTTAGCTGAATGTATGTTGATGTTCACATTGGTTGAAAATTTTAGTGGTTCACTGAACTTAGTAAGTCAATGAGTGACAAATAGAACATTTAAGCAAAACCGATTCAAATCTCTGCATGAACAACAACATTGCAATGTAAGTAATGTTTACCTGAAGAGTCCTGAATAGGACAAAAAAAATTACATCCTAGATTCAACTATAATCTACAGTTCAAATATATTAAAATTTCTGACTATAAGCTAGATAAAAGTAATCCGGGCTCAATGTAAACATACAACAATGGAAAGTTAAAGTGGTGAATATCAACAATAAGAAATCACGAAACCATATTCATTCAATTTAATATAATGATAATAACATTTTTTCTAGATTCAATAAAAATATTGAGTTTAGAAAAAGCACAAAAGAAAACCAAGGGTAATACAATAATCCTGTGATAATAACCAATCAATTCATTCATTTATTTGTATCTTTAATAAATATACAAGTAAAAACAATGTGATCATGTTGCTTTGCTCATTTCAATGTCAACATTAATAAAACAATATTGAACGTTGATTTTACCAATAAAAGTATATTATAATTATTGAAATGATAGCAGATATTTAGTTTTCTATCATATAGATAATGTTTAGTGAGGTTTAGACATTCTACTGTGAATTCGTAGGTTGTAGGTGTTAGGACCCGAGAAACATAATGAATGGTAACTTTATGGATCCATTTATGGACCAATACTAAACGTATATTTCTATTGCATAATTATTAAGTAACTAAACTATGTATATTCATATTCTTCTTATTATAAGCTTTATTTTGACCAATAAACTATTATTATACGTTTGACCATTCTTGAGTTATACCCAGTATATTAATTACTACCTCCTACACTCATAGCCACATCTGGTTAATTCTTGTACAAATGTTGTTTCATATTTTATTGGTACGATGTGGTCTATTTGGTTGGTATATAAACCCCAGTATGTTTGAAATATTATGATTCATATCGCATAGGCTGAGACTTGTATTTTGGACTTAAGAGACAGGGCTAGGCAGGAAGCAGGACCGATAAGGATTCCAGACTGCTCGTACGTGTCATTGATCCGATCGATAAGTCACTGCTCATGAGTTGGGTTCAAGTTCGGTAGAGTAAACCTCGAGCAATCAACTATACAAATTTCTCTATTCAGTAAATGAATTACTTTTAAAGAAACAATAGATAGTACTTCTAGAAAACAGTAGTAAATTGAAGAAAATATAGTTTTTTTTCTTTCTTTATAATTTCTTTGCTTCTTGAAACAACGTTTATAGCCTTGCATTAAATCATTAAAAATAATTGAAATTATTATCAGAATGGGTTATTTGCGGATGTTTCTATAGTAATTTTTAATAATTGAGATCATAAGTCAATTGAAGCGAGATTATAACACAAATAAACCCATAGAAACACTGGACAGTTGTTTCGTCCTATTGTGAGACCACTGAAGAGTCCTTAATAATTTCTACTGTTTTCATTCCTTGGTCATAGATTGTGTTTGTTAAGATGCAACAAACAATCTTAGAAATAAATAGAAATAAAGTGCCGACTTCGAATACAAAACAAAAAACGAGAAAAGAAAACAAATTAAATTGTGTTGTTTAACAGAATGAAAAATCAACAACAAAACAAATTTAATCATCCCATGATTTAGTACGATTTGATGATAAGCAATTTACTGACTAGACAAAAACTAATCATTAGGTAAACAAAATAAATGATAAATAAAAGTGTCTAACTAGACAGTAAATATATATTAATGTCAGAAGGGGTTTTGTGAAGATTTTAGTAATTTTAATAGTTTAAATCATGAGTCAATTAAAGCTAGACCACCAAGAGAAACCTGGAATTGTAGGAGGATAGTGGATGCACACTGCTACTCAGGAGTTCCATACTAGGATGAAACAGCCGTCTAGTGCTTCCAGGTTTTCCATGGTGATCTAGCTTCAACTAACTCACGATTTCAACTATAGATATCTTAATGTAAAAACCTAAAAGTAAAAATGGGTGATGATTAGCAGTGGAATCTAGAACGACCGCTTCATCCTATTCAGGATTGGTTCAGTTGGATGTACCTGCATCCAAAGGCTGATATTCGCGCATTCTGGATTCCACTGCTAGCCACTACTCATCTTTGCTTAGAATGCTTATAAAATTTAGGCAATACGCACAAGATGCACAAATGCCAATAATAGACCAATCAACTGCTGTCCTAAGCAACAATGAGAAAATTCAAATAAACAATACATAATGTTTGTAAAAGTTTCTGAAAAACTCAAACTATAATAATTTTTCATTGTGATCCAAAAACTACATGTTAGCGAATCGAGAGTATATAAGAACTCTCCCATCTTTAAGGTTTGTTCTCCAAATGTTGATTAATATCTAACTATCTATTTATTGATCTCTATGCATCAGTGTGTTTCTCAATGAATGAAGTTTACTCGCATGTCTTTCTGTATACTTATCTATCGATTGATTCATGAATCAGTTGTGAGTGGCAAAAAAAACAGTAGTTGTAGCAGTGACAGAATGGAAAATTTAGTTCTTCTTGCAACAACCACAAAAAAACACATATGCTCACAAACAAAACTCATAACTTGTAGATGAAACAGAATTACTACATAGAGATTATAACGAATTTATGTGAAAAAAAGTTAGCTGTTAAGCGAAAGAATACAAGATTTTGTGCGTTATTATTATTAGTAGTAGTACTGTTATAATGAGGCACAAAAAGTGATTAAAACAAAAGTGATGTTTTTTTTAGAAAAAATATCCAACATCAACACCAAGGAGCTAGAGTGAATAATATGGTCATTTGGAATGAGTATTATTCAAGCACATCATCCAACCAACAAGACTATAAGCCTTGTTTTATATCACCAATGAAATCATATTCCTGCGTATGAACTTTAGACTATCAAAAACAGATACACTAAAACACACCCGACTGTTGTTGCTACCTTGACGTGGTGGTCGGGCTTACGTATCGTCATGAAACAACCGAGCTATTACTGGTTAGAACAATCGTTCCTCAAGGTCCTACCATATCAGACAGGTCGGTTGAAGAGCGGTAAGACTAAAAGCAACAAACCCAAGGTCCGAAGGCGAAGTCGTACTGCTGTACAGAGGTGTGACGGCAGTAAGGTGTTTCCTTCAGACAACCAGCATAACAGCGATGGTATCTTCCTACAAGGAAAGATGGGGTTGGAAAAGGTCGACCCTAAAAATGCACACCTCGCCTTATTTCACGGATATCAGTCTCCAGTGGTAAGGTCTCAAAAAGTACGGAGGTAACAAGAAAATTACCCACAAAAAGGTCGTGTGCTACTGACCACAAACAGTTGTCCCTTAGGCACTGCGGTCACACTCTCAAGTCACAAAGGCCATCTCTAACACAATTTCCTTTTCAGGTACCTCCAGAAGAACCTTTTCACGGTGTGGGCAACCGGGAAGTGATAAACGTCTTCATACCTCTAACAGCACTTAAGACCACTGTATTCATAATCAACCTCCCTCTTCACTGATGATCAAAGTATGTAATCAAATGCATAACTTCCACATAGGATGACTATAATCATTTTTTTAAAATCAATGAGTTGCTATATACAATGCAACTATCAGATTCGATGTGTCAAACATACTTACTGTGTGCTTTTTTCTTCTTAAACTATGTTTTACCAATTACACCCCACAACAATCAATACACATCCCAGAACACATCCAAAAACATAATCTCAGTTGAACTATTAACCATTTAAAATAATAAAAATAGGAATTCATTCTGAATGAATGAAAGGAATAATGTTAGTGTAGCATAAATAAACTCGTAGAATATACAAATCAGTGTTTTGAGTTAATTGTTATGCTTAATTTACACACATTTTACAATATTACTAACATATAGTAATAGTAGTAATGGTATTCATATTACTATGTATAAAACCTTTATACACAAATGATGATGAATTTATTTACAAATTATAAACAAGTACAATTCTTCTTGTCCTTCCTGTGAAAACAGAAAAAAAATCCATTACAAAATAAGGTAGTGAAATGAGAATCGAATCACAAAGACAGATAGAGAGAGAGAGGGAGAGCGAGTAAGAAGGAAAGAGAAGAAAACCATTGAGAGAATAGTAGACAAGTATACATGTTAAGAAAATGATGGAGAAAAAAACAGAAACGAAATCACAGCAAACAAAAGTAGCATTGTGAAGTAACAAATACAAGTGTGTAGCTAGGCAGATTAGGTGTGTAACAAGTAGAAAAAAAAGTAGCCAGAAATTTGAGTTAAGCATAGTTACTATAGTTACTTAGAGCTCAAATAATTAGCGCATAAGTATGCACGAACACACATACATTGCTGCTTGCTTATATCAAACATAGCTATCGCATATAAGTGCATTTTATAAAGGTGTAATATGAGAGATATATAAACACATTGACATACATACATACGCACACAAATAATTTCACTCCAACTCACCCTGACTTAAAACGACCACATCGAAAACTTGATGTATAGATAAAAAGAAATTATTCATGATAATTATCACTTTTTTTTTCTCACATTTCATGATACAGAATAATCGTTAAATTTATTATATAGTAATGTATTTCTGATGATGTAATGGAAGATCAATCAAATTTTGATAGACAATTCTCAATATAACACGACTATCAAAACAATTCATTTGGACAAATTGAATCAAGCAGGAGCAATAAGATAGAAAATAAAATGGTTTAAATCATTAAATCCTCTGTATCCTTCATCACTGTACTAACATTCAGTATAAGAATGTTATGTCCTGATTAGCATAATGAATGGTAAGTATTGGGATCCATTTATGGATCAATACTATACGTACATTTTTATCGTATAATTCTTAAATAACTAAACTATTCATGTTCATATCCCTCTTATTATGACCTTTATTTTGACCTATGAACTGTTATTATACGATTTACCATTCTTGAATTATACCCTGTTTATCACTTACTCTCCCTCATTCACAGCCACATTTAGCTAAATCTTGTAGAAATGTTGCTTCTTATTTTATGGTACAATGTGGTCTGTCTGGTTGATGTATAAACCCAATATGTTTGAAATCAATGATTCATATAACAGAGGCTGATATTGGTGTTCTGGACGTAACAGGCTGAGCTAGGCAGGAAGCAGGACTTTAGACTGCTCGCACGAATTTTATGAAACATTGTTCTCAAATTGGCGGTATCGTTTCGTTATACATGAACAGGGCACACAGGCCACAAGTTATAACAAATAACCACATGTATATGGAGACGGAGGGAACATACATATAAAAAGTGAAATTGTGTACTAAGTAGAGATGGATGGTGGATAGTAATAAAATTCAGGATACGCGTTTCACGCTATTTGGGGCCTATCAGCCGGATGTACATGCATCCCAGAGTTGGTGCTCAACCAGGGACTCGAACACAGTACCGTTCGCTTCAAACGTCGTCACGTTGTCCACTTAGCTACTGAGTCCATATAGCCCTGGTTTGTGCAATGGCATGAATTTTAATGTATACATAAAGGTTATTTGAATCTTATCATTGGTGTTTAGAACTGCAATTGATAATCCACCATCTATCTTTGCTTAAAATGCTTTAAGCTTGATAGTTATATCAAGGTAATCTGCACATAATGCACATATGCCAAAGGAAACTGACCATCTGCAGTCCTAAACATCATTCGGAAGATCAAAACAATCAGCAAATTCTTGAACACTAAATTACTATTTATTCGTTTATCAATCAATCTAGTCAGTTTGAAGTTCTAAACGAACCAATTGAAGTGTTTGCCGTAAACTCCGCATAATTCATGTGTTATAAATGATCGTAGACAATTAAAAGATCACTTAACAAATAGTTGATTTGTAAATTATGATAATGCAACTGATTTCTTAGCTTTGAATTTGTTGTAAGCAGACTATTAGTAGTACAAGTATTCTACAAGGTAGCAGACTTTAAGTCTGATCATCCATTTACTTAAGTTTGGGTAACTGTAATCTACCATTAAGTTACACACATCCACCGTGTAGTGTAATGCAGACTACGTATAGAAGTAAGTTGGAAGAAATTTGGGGTCGGTTAGACCAAAAAGTAGTATTAGTCCGTGAAGTTGCTAACAATGCGACTGGGTCATATCAATAAGTGTAAACTACCACGAAGATTATCGTAGCCAATAGTTAGATAATGGATGATACAGCTCAGAATCGCTTGCCATGTCTAATGTGCATTCACTTTTTATCTTCTTTTATAACGTGTGCACAGAATTCTCATTAAACATTTTAATAATTGATCTTTTCTACTATTTATATACCACTACTCTAGAATTCGTCTTGCTAATATGAAATGGCAAATTGAACTGATGGATATAAATGCCAGGTTCGACGCTGTGTATGTCTGACTAAGTACACATACTTTTTATTCGGAGAAAAACGATTTATACATTTTAAAGAAAATTTATGATATTGCAACTAACTTTTCCAGAGCTAATCAAATGCGCGTCAGATAACACAAGAAAATTAACTGGTTAATGAAATCTACTATTTCACTACTCATAAGTAGCTTATTACGTTCAATAAAAGTAATTTGGCCTAATCAACGTATGGCTTTTTGTACACTTTTTAAATGCGAAAAACAATTAGCAGAATAAAAGGAGTAAATGTCTAACAAGTGAAGTGGGGCTCAAATCACTAGTTGATGGATTTTATACAAAGAATAAGCACGAAGTTGCAAAGCAAAAAGAAAACATGTTTCATAACTGAAAATCATAGTGCATTGTATTAACTGCAAAGATTGATAGTGGCTAGCAGTGGAATCCAGGATGAGCATTTCGTCCTATTTGGGACTCATCAGATAGATGTGCCTGCATCTCAGAGTTGATATCCACTTTGAGACTCGAACTCAGTATTGTTCGCTTCAAACGCCATCGCGTTATCCACTTAGCTACTGAGTCCACCTTTGCATATAATGCATGCGAATTAAGGCTATATCGATACAATACGCACATATGCCAATCCTAAACATCAGTGGGAAGAATCAAACAAACAATACCAAGTGAATAATTGTGTTAACTGTTGACAGTAGTCTATTAGTTAAAACACTTTAGAAAATATGACTTGACACGTGCTAACTTGAACAGATGAATATCTATAACAAATACCCTGTTAATTGAAGATGCAATCCTAATACAATATGACTTACAAGATCTTGATTAACATATGGAATTAAATTATGGGGTGTATTTATGCTTAATCGATGATAGAGCTAAATAGCCCCCAAATGCCCTGGTACGACTGAGAGTGGGGAAAGTACGCTCTCCCTCTCGAAATGCTCTCACATGGCCACACGTATATAGACAAATAACATGCTAACAAAGTTACTTTAGCCACCTTTCAAAATGAAATAAGGATACGCAAAAGAACCCAACAAATAGTGATCAAATCAATGCTAAACATTATCGAAATCAAAAGCACGTTTACGAAAAAAACAATATAAAAATACTGGATTAATTACCTTCGAGCTATCCTTAATGTTAGACTACGGAAGAATCGTCCTGGTCGAGAATGACTAGATGAAACTGTAGTTGACGGAGTTTCTAAAGTCCTTGAAGAATCTGAATAATCCTTTAATTCCGTGGAACAATTGATATTTTGATTTGGATCCACATTTTTCTTGCTTGTTGTCACCTGTTTCGACTCAGCAATAGATGGAATATTGTTAGTTGTAGTCATCACAGTATTGTTTGGTCGATGACGTACTGACCATTTAATAATTGAATCTCTTTTTAACGATGCCGTTGTTGTGGGTAATTTAAAACCATGTGATTTTGAATCAGATTTTTTCCTATCATCATTAAGCGTCTTCTCATCTGTGTTCAATGTATCAAGTGCCTTGAAAATTGAATCAGGCAATGCAATCCGACCACTAGGTGATGAAGACTGTTTATTATTGTGTTGTTGTGTAATTTTCGCAGAATTCATTGTACCCGATGAAGATGTTGGATCCATTGTTGAAGAATGACTATCAGTGAAAGTGAATGATCCAGGTATTTTCGTATTCACATTATTACTCTTCTGATGATCATCAGATTGATTTGTTGATAATTTTTTCGATTTTTTAGTTTTATTAATATTAAATAAAGAATAAGGAATACTTGGACGATTTACATCACTTTGTTGTTGTTTTTGTCGATCATTCGTATGTAAAATATCAATGATAGAATTAGTATCATTCGAAGAAACTTTACTACTACTATTAATAGTATTATTGGTAGTAATGGGTAAAGTTGTTGTTTTAGGCTTGGAATGGATTGAAGTATCTTTATGCTTTTTTCGATACGGAAGTGTTCTACAATTGTAAGTAACAAAAGAAAGAAAGGAATTAAATTGAAAGGAATAAGAGGGGGGGAGAGGGGTGAATTCATTAACTGACAATGATGAAGTGTAAGATGTTGTTGTTATAAAATACACATAATGGTGGAATGAAAAAAGTATGAAGAAACTACATAAAATATAATATAAGTATTTAACTATCATGTTAGTTGCTTATTTAAAATTTCACTGATATTACTTCATACACACACTTAAATGGTTACGCATTGAATGCTCTGGTTAATTGTGTAGATTTCCATATCTTTTTAAACAATATGCTCAATTATTGTTATTTGCAAAGATCATTCAGTTCAGTTCAACGCAGCTAAGAGTTAATTAATAAATACCATTCAGAGGAAAAAATTCGGCGAGACTCTAATTTATGGACGAGCCAATCAGAGGCGTTTTACAGATTTCAAGGTTACGGCGCCAACTTCAGTGCTTAATGCTAACGTACGATTGGTTCACAGGGAATTTTGTACAAAACGTGATAATCGAGCAGCTATAACAAATAAAACGGCGAGATTATAATTTGTGGATGAGCCAATCAGGTATAAGATAATAAATCTCAGATTTTAACGCGAAAGCCTTCCTTCCATTTGGCTAAATAAATTTCTGGCATTATAATTGATGTTAGTTCGTGATGAAAACCCCATATATAATTCATAGCTAAAGCAAATGACAACAATTATCGCGAACTGGATAATAAAAGCACCAGTAAGACTGGCTGCAGCCAGGTACTACAATATATACGGATGTTTGGAGAGCGTAAAGACTCCTGCATATGCTTGGTTATATGCATCGTGTCGTTATCCACAAGTAGCATTTTGTGCACTCAACCGTAGTGCACACAAACAATATTGAAGCTATGTGGTCGAGGCTGAAAGAGTTTTTGAGACTTCATCATGGCTCCAAAGGCCGACAATTCTGTAGCCATATGGATGATTTCCTTTACTGCATGTATTACGATTTAAGAACCTCTTTCTAACTGTTGTGGATGCGGAAGGATAGACCAATAATTACCATGTTAAGTCCAGTGGTGTTCTTGGACTTTAAATGGACGTTTCTTATTGGTCGATATCTGTTTGCTTTTTGAATATTGTACAAAATGTTGTTTTCTATTCTTATGGTACGATGTGGTATGTTTGGTTAGTATATAAATAGAATATGTCTGAAATACAATGATTCATATCTCAGAGGCTGTGACTTTCGTTCTGAACTCAACTGGCTGAGACAGACAACGAAGCAGGACCAATCGGGAATCTAGGTCATTCGTACGTGTCACTGTAACCGATCAATAAAACGCTGCCTACCAAAACCTGCAGGTCTCACTCGTTACTACACTAACCTTGACAAGTTTTTGAACCATGTAAAAGAAGTCTATCCACTTTATTTCTATGGTTTTGTATAATATATTTTTACTCTATACTCAAGATTTGTTCAAAGGTCGTTTATAAATTATAGTCTCGCTAAAAATTCCACTGAATCATCATCTACTGATACAGTCAGTCAGAAAAAGAAGGCACTTGAAACAATTAACTCTCGAAAAAAAACATGTTAGTTATTTCAAATCATACAGTTTTGATTCCTTTGGGATATTATATGTTAAACAAATAAAGTAAACTGTTTCATAATAAAAATGCAATGTCTTTAAAACACACACCATTTAATAGGAAAGACATCATAATAATTATATTCAATGGTTGCTATTGGTAACTTCTTTCAAGGTGATAAGATCAACTTAATTTGCAAAAATAAAGAAGTTTGAGAGAGAGAGAGAGAGGAGGAAAAAAGATTTTTATTCACTGACGAAATGACAAGGGTTATGAAACATGAGAAAGGAATTCAATCCCACTATTGAAAGATGGGATAATTATAAACACTTCTATATACATAGGGAATGATCATATGAAATCTTGACAAGTTATGAATTACATTGATTAAACAACATTATTGATGAATTTGTAGACTACATTATGGAATTATTCCAATTTGTTTTAGCTCGTACGTAAATTATATGCAACATACTATTCTCCGTTTTCATCTATTAAGTTGCAGATTCGAACTACAATACTATCTTAGTAGTATATTAAATCTGCAAAGACACTGTTTGCTCCTAGATATCGTGGTACAACAATAAGTGAGGAGAACATTTTCTTTATAACAGTCACGTAATTATACGTTCAGACTAACTGATTGAGATGTAAAGGGAACATCCGACACTAAAAGCCGATTGGTGAATATAGAGAAAAAAACTGGAAAACACTGATTCCAAATCAGTGCTGTATGTGAACTCCAAATTTTCTGAGAAAATATGTGGCATGTGAGCCTATTTTAGATGCTGGCTAATATCGCACTGATTCTCCTGTCGATACTTCACCAGCTTGTAAATTCAAACAATCAGGTCAGAGGTATGAGAAATCTCATCCTAAGAAGACTATCCGCTTAAGCTTAAGTGTTCAGTAAGTATCTTAACCTTTTCACAAATAAAGAAAATATCCTATTCGTTCCGTTTTATTATCTGTTTAAGAAAAATATTTAAAACAATGCAAAATTTGGATTAAATTTGCAGCAGAATAATGCTGTACTTAATTGTAATTAAAAGTAGTATTGTTAATACGGACAGGATGGTGTATATGTGATAAATACTAATCTGAAAAGAAAGAAAAATAATCCGACTACATATACACAGTATGTGGAATTATTTAATGAAATTTATCGATTTGAAAATAAAGAATAATAAGCAACAAAACAATATAATCTTCATTTCACAATTATCTTAAAGGGCATCCAAATGACCTGGGGTACGGCCGAGAGTGTGGTGGGTCAGCGCTCCTTAAAAAAATGCTCTCACATAGCCACATGCATACAACTAATGTCAGGGAAGTCCTACACACTGAGTTCTGTTGTTTACGAAATTGACAACACAAAAAGTGAATATCCGGTGCTTTAACTGAGTTGGAAGATATGGAGAATCCATCCAAGGGAGTTTAAAAACCCTAATTCCAAACCAATGATGCACATGGGTTGGTTCCAGGATCCTGAAAGAAAAAATGAAGTGTGAACCTATTGTTTGGTCACCGGCTACCATAAAACTGCATTTCCTGACGTTGCTCCATTGTCTTGCGGATTAGACCTATAAATCAAATGCTCAGGAAACCACCTACTTCGGTTTGGGTACCCGAGCAGTATCCCAACCCTCACACAAATCGAATGATTTACGTGGTGTATATCTGTTTGGTGCCTCCTTGTACCAATTTTTATGTGTTTGAATAAATAAATGAATAATATCTCAAAAAAGAATAGAAATATTGGAAGAATAGTTCTAATTACTATTGATAGGGTATTAAGTTTTCGAAGATTATTACTTTTATTTTAAACTCTATTTTGTCCTTATACGTCTTAACACTTCAGTAAAAATGTCATCAGTTAGATATTTACTTATAAGAGTGACAAAATGCTTACATACAATCAGAAAATCTTGGTTATAATATAAGAAGGAAGGTGTTTAGAAAATTTCAGTTTCCAGTTCAATAGTTGACTAATACAAATCAACAGTTATTTCTATGTATATTTGCACTTGCCTTAGAAAACATGGTATTTAGAGATGTTTATAGTATGCAATTCAAGTCAAAACTGTTAATATGATGGTAGGTGTCTCTTACAGCAATTACATTTTAACATTTGGACAAATATTCACAATCTAGAATTGGTGTTTCTAATATATGTCACTTTATAATACATCATAGGGTTAATGACTAGTATAAAAGTTTTAATTTCAGTGATAACTAATAAAATCATTTGTGTATACTAGTCGTTTTATTTTATTTATTTATTTGAATATATATGCGCCACACAAGTCACTAATTTGTGTGTGGGCTGTGATACTGCCCGGGTACCCAGATCGAAACAAGTGATCTCCTTAGGGGGCCACACCTGAAGTCATTGACCTAAAGGTCTGATCCACATGTCAATGGAGTAATATCAAGAGATGCAGTCCCATGGGAGCCGGTGACTAACAATAGGTTCACACACCATTTGTTCTTTCAGAATCCCGGAGCTCATGTGCACCAGTGATTTGAAATCAGGGTTTTCTAACTCCCCTACATGGACCCTCCATATTCACCAACCCAGTTAAAGAACCGGACATTCGCTTTTCGTTCTCTCAATTCCGTAAACAACACCCTCGTCACGAGCACATAGTGAGTAGAACTTCCCTGGCAGTGGTTATGCGAGAGCATTTTTCGAGAGGCAAAGCTGACTCTCCCCACTCTGGACCCTACCAGAGCATTCAAATAAATTACAGATCATTTCTTTTTAAAACGAATGAATACACATTGGAGATGTTATTCATGAACACAGATAACATAAAAGGAGAATTGATAAGAATAAAAAAAAACATACACATATGAAATAAATTCCTTAATATATAACAAGTAGATGATGGAGAAGATTTGTAGATCAAGTGAAGGATTTTGATAGAGTTTCACTTCTTTGAACTAAATGGTTTAGTTGTGGATCTTTCATCATTCTTCTGAACAATATCACCAGCATAAATTTGAAGTTTTTCTGAATGATGAAAGCTCCACGATCAAACTATTCAGTTCAAAGAACCGAAACTTCATCAAAAAACAATAACAAGTACTTTATTGATTCTACCAATTAATCATTGAAAAAAGGTTATCACATATTTCAACTGATCTGAGCATATATATATATATATATATATATATATATATATATATATATATATATATATATATATATATATATATGGTGAATGTTGTAGGTACAAAATTAACCAGTCAAATTGATTCATTTGTTGTTACTATGTGTATTACCATATTGATCGATCATAAAGTGCATATAGTGAATGGAACATCTATGATAAACTATAAAAAGAAAACTACCAATAAAAAACGACTTTAAAAAGAAGACCTTTATTTGAAAGAAAAAAAAAGACGATTTACCCAGTAA